GGAGAGAGAAAGAGAGGGGGAGAGAGAGAGGAGAGGGGGAAGAGAGAGAGAGAGAGACAGAGAGAGAGGAGGAGGGAGAGAGGAGAGAGGGGAGAGGAGGAGGGAGAGAGGAGAGAGGGGAGAGGAGGAGGGAGAGAGAACACAGCATTAACTCACTAGAAAGACCCCAGACTGAGACTCCTACAAATTGGAAAAGCGTCAAGAACACGTGTGGTCAAGGGCACTGAGAGGTGGTCATCCTGGGGCCCTGACTGCACTGTCACTACCTCCCAGGCACCCTGACCACCTGCACAAACCCAGCCTCCTGGGAGAACCACCCCCCTCGCCAGACCCGCCCTTGGCCGGGCAGATGTGGACAGGCCCAGGCCAGGAGGCTGCCCCTCTGCGCACCTGGATGGAGTAGGTGGTGTTGTAGTTGCTGTAGAGGTTCTTGACAGGGACGTCGGAACCATTCATGGTACACTGGCTGTAGGGTTTGCCTTTGCGCTCCAGTCTGTCCTGTGTTGGGAGGATTGTCCTGGGAGCTCCAATGTCACAGGAACCCCAGTCTGCACCCCTCCCCAGCACAATTAGCATCAAGCCTGTTGGGGACCAGGTGCTGGAAGGAGGGAGGCTGTAGGCCCCTGCAGGTGCTACAGGGCCCCCCTCAGATGCTTGCTGCCCAACCCCCCCGGGGATGGCTGTGCTGACGAGGTTTCAGAAGGTGAAGCAGGAGTAGACTGTGAGGAGGACCTATGGGAGGCCAGCGTCCCCATGCCCAGGCCACGGGCACTAGACAGGTAAGCCTCTTCCTCACAGCCTCTTGGGGAGCAGGTGGAGCCCAGGTCATACCACCAGCACCCCGATGGATGTCTCTGTCCCTCCCATGGCGTAGATGCCCTCGTCCTTGATGAAGGGGTAAGACTTCTGCTCATGCAGCATCAGCCGCGCCCCGGCCGTGGACGTGAGGAAGGGCACGTAGTCTTTCTGATCTATGTCCAGGATCAGCTTCAGGCCTGTGGGGAAGGTGGGGAGAGCTGCCTGAATGAACCTGTACCCCAAGGCGGAGGGGAGAGCCACCCCAACTTGTCCAAGCCTGATCCAGCCATAGGGAGCCCAAAGGCCTGTGAGGAAAGCTGGGTCCACTCAACAAAGCTCAGGCCCCTCAACCTGCTTGGCTTCTCCAACCATCCCACTCTATTCCAGGCTAGGCCAGCCTCATCTGAAGGGTCTCCGCTGGCCTTCCCACCGTATCTTAGCCACACAGCGGGACTCAGGACAGCCTTATCTGAAGGGTCTCCGCAGGCCCTCCCACCATCTCTCGTCCACACAGTGGGACTCAGGACATGCATCCACATAGCAAAACTCAGGACATACCTCGGCACAGGCACAGGCGGCAGTGTCAGCCCCCTGCTCCTCCGTGCCCCTCCTCCTCTCTCCCTCCTGGCCTGCTCTCAGCTCTCCCAGTCCTCCTGCTGCTGGTCTTGCTCTCGCCATGTCCTCACGCTGGATTCCGCCCCATCCTGCCCTTCTCCTCCATGACTCCTGCTCGTCCTTCTGACCTGGGCCACAGTCCTCATCTCTCAGAAGCTGCCCCACTGCCCAGGATGAGGGGTCTTTGCTCTCCCTCCTGGACTAGAGCCTTTTGTCCAACACCTCTCCAACACCTCTCTCACCTGCTTGACCATCTCTCTCCCTTCCCTGGCAGACTGGTGCCTTCTTTTAGAACTAGTGAACTTGACCATCACCTTTATCTAGTTCCACAGGGTCTCCATTACCTCCAGAGAACACTCACTCCTCAGAGAAGACCCCTCACCCTCATAGAAGAACATTCATTCTCAACCCACAGGAGACCCTTCACCCTTACTCCCATAGGAGACCCCTCACCCTCAGAGGAGATGCCTCACACACTTCCACAAGAGAACCCTCACCCTCACAGAAGTACCTTTATCCCTACAGAAGACCCCTTATCCTCACCCCCACAAGGGACCCATCACCCCGACAAGAGACTCCTCACTTCCATAGGAAACCCTTTACCCTCACTGCCACAGGTGACCCCTCACCTTTACTCCTATAGGAAACCCTTCACCCCCCCAGGAGACCCCTCAGCCCCCCAGGAGACCCCTCACCTCCACAGGAGACCCCTCACCCTCACTCCCACAGAAGATTCCGCACTTTCACTCCCAAAGGAGACCCTAAACCCCCACTCTCACAGGAGACCCCTTTTCCTCACTCACAGATAAGACCCCTCACCCCTAGAGGAGACCCCTCACCAACTAAGCAGTGGCTCCCCTGCCCATGTCCAGCCTCCATCAACCACCAAACCTCTTTCTTTTTTTTTTTAATTTTTCAATCAATCTTTTTTTTAAAAAAATTTTTTTTTAAATTATTTTTGTGTGAGTGTACCATCAAATCAGATCTGACTGGTACAGGAGGAGACTGCCCCTCCTTCCTCGGCAGAGCATCTGGTGGATTCGAATCGTGCGCCTCTGGGATTGTAGTTGCAGCTCCTTGCCACTAGGCCACCAGAGCTCCCCCAAACCTCTTTCTTTTTCTGCATTTACCATACACACTTTCCTTTTTTGAGCACAGGGATCAGACCTGATACTTCATGCACCGTGTACTGTGCCCAGTGCCTTCCAGAAATGAGAATTCCTCTAAAGGGTAAAGCCCTCCACTTAGGATACTAAGCGGGTGCATTTACCAAGCGCTGACCACATGCTGAGGCTGTGCTGGGTGCCTTTACTGAATCCTCATAAGAGTCACATGGGGTAGGTACTACTATTGTACCCATTTTATAGACGAGGAAACTGAGACCCAGAGAGGTAAAGAGAAGATCTGAGGGGTAAGAGACAGGATGAGTGTCCTCCCATGCAGGCTCACAGCCTGATGTGCCAGCCTCTCCCATCAGTGTATCAACCTCAAGAGAAACAGCGCCCATCAGGAGTCACCACCAGCCCCCCTCCCATGCTTTCTGTCACAGACTGTCCCTCTCCAAAAAGCTCAGAGTCACAGCTTAGCCACTAAGTAGACAAAGCCTACAGAAGTTCCTCCAATCAGCCCAAACACACGAGGATTCTGGTCTCCCGAGTGAGAATCTGGGTTTGTGTGTCTGCTGACACCCTCAAGCACAGTCACCACCTGTCTGCCACTGGACACTGACGTGCTGCTACAAAGCTCAGGCTTCTGCAGAGCTTCCACACTAAGACTAGGAGGAAAGGTCTGGCAACCCGAGTCCAATCAACCAATCTATGAAAAGCCCACAGGCAGCAACAGTCCCGTCCTTGGCCAATCGTGGGATGGCGCAGGGCTGGAGGAGTTTCTTTCCTTTGTCCACTGGGTCACATGAGTCGATGGTGACCAGAGGACAGCAACAATAACAGCACTGAGCTGTGTGCCTGTGTTCAGCTACAATCCTCCATGAGGTCACTCTAGCTTATGTGTCCATCCTCTGAATAGAGAAATTAGAGCTTCAGCAAGTCAAGGTGGGATCCCACCACCCAAGCAGTGGTGGGACTTGACCAGGCATGAGGAATTTGAGAGTTCCTGACCACTAAGCTAAACTACTTCCACAGTCTTGCTTTGCTCATCAATGGAATGGGAACAGCTCTCCCTGCACTGGGATTCGGGCATGGCCGAGAGCAGGAGTCCACGCTGACCACTCCTCTCCACGTGGGCCAGCCTCCAGTACTGCCGCCTCAGCATCTGATGCCGATTTTGTCTTCAGACACACCCGGTGAGGAGTTACGCATCTCACGGTCCAGACCGATGTGGCCTAGACTTACCAAACTCAGCCCCAGGGTTGGCCGAAGGCAGGATCTTGTCCGTCATGCCCCAATTGAAGATGTAGCAATTGCCATAATCGGGGTAGAAGATGGATGTGAAGTTCCTAGAAGAAAGGTCATTGGCTGGAGAGCAGGGTACAGCAAGTCCACTCCCCCTGTCTCTGCTGCCAGGGCTGCCAGGGCTCCCTGATCTCAGCGTCCTGCACAGAGAGGCTCCTGAGGGAGAGGTGAGCCATGGGTCAACCCTTCCACAACCTCCCCCCAACCTCCGCTGCATCGTTGTGAAAAACAGACTGGAGTGGGGAGGGCTGTGGTGCGGTGAGGTGTGTCCCATAGAAGGTGGAGAAGATCATTTCACTGGGGCCAGCGCTCAGGAGCTCTGTTTAGCTAAGGACAATGAAAGAAAGTTCCTAGCTGTTTTCATCTATTTAGTCTTGTAGGTGCACTAAAGACTAAGAGGGCTGCTCCAGGCAAAGTTTGCTCCAAGGAGCCAGCAGACCCCAGAAAGGCTGGGAATTCAGAAAGAAAGTAGCTGTGAGAGGTGGGACTTGAACCCAGGGAAGGTTGAAGAAGAAGCTCAGAAAAGGGGGAACTTCAAAGCGCAGGGGGCGAGAGCCTTATGCAAGTTTGTATTTTATGTCTTGGATGTGTTTCCCGAGGAATTAATGCAATAAGAACAAGAGAAGTGTTTTCATAAAGATGCTCACTGCCACAGTGACTGTCTGGTGGAGTGGCAGAAAAGTCTGCTGCAGATTTCATTTTTGTTATAGAGCATCTCAAACAAGAACATTGGGGAGAAAGAAATAAAAAAGCTCATCAATACTTTTCCACCATCAGCCACCCTGCTATCAAACTTGTAAGTCCCCACTACTCTCCACATATTAATCATATTAAATCTCAGACATCATAATATTATGTGTAAACATTGCCATGCGTACATATCTCTGAAATGCACTCAAACTCAAAACCTATTGCTGTTGAGCCGGAACCAACGCACAGCTGACCCTCCACGGAGTTTTCAGAGGCAGTAAATCACAGAGGAGGAGACTGCCCATTTTTCTCCCTCAGAACTGATGGTGGATTCGAACCGGCAGGAAGGCATCATTTTTGGATGGAGAGCAGGAGTGGCATCTGCTTCCTAAATAACATGCCTCCAGAACCCCTATGAACTTTGATCAATGTTGATATTTGTACAAGGGTTTCAAGCCTTTTGTTCATAGGGTCGCTATGAGTCATGCTCAACTTGAAGGCAATCAACAAGAATTGCAGGCGAGGAGACCGCCCATTTTCCCCCCTCAGAACTGATAGTGGATTCGAACTGGCAGAAAGGCGTCATCTTTGGGTTACCAGAGCCATTCCCTATGGACTATACCACCAGAGCTCCTGTCAAACAATAAGAACCCTTAAAAAAAATACATGTGGCGCTTTCTCAAAAAGTTGCAAATAGAGATACCATTTGCCCCAGCAATTCCACTACTGGGAATATACCCTAAAGAGACCATAAATGACATCCAAGCAGATATATGCATATCCATGGTTATTGCGGCTTTGTTTACAATAGCAAGGGGTTGGAAACAACCTAAAATGCCCATCAACAAACGAATGGGTAGAGAAGCTGTGGTATATTCACACAATGGAATACTATGCTGCAATGAAAAACAAGGAACTCATGCAATATTATTCAAAATGGGTGACCCTGGAGGACATTATGCTGAGTGAGGTATC